CTAAGTGGGTGCCAGGCCAAGGGGCTAATTATAAAGAAATTGATGCTAGTCATCAAGGATATCAGTTGTATCTCTACGAGAGGCTGACAGGAAGTTAATTGTGTGAACGTGTGATGAAAGAGGAAAATGTATAGAGGCATCCCAGCTGGAGGCAAAAGGAGGAGACAGAATCATCATCATCATCATCACCATCATCATTGCATAAAGCAGATACTAAAACAGTTAAGACCAGAGAGTATTTCCAAAAAAATCTTATCACAAGTTCAACGTTTCGCACTCAACGGACTTCCTCAGGAACATTCACAATATAAATGACAAGAATCTAGATCTACACATGCTGTAAAAACTAAAGTGCGTAGAATCTACATACATGTGACAACACTTTAGGCTAGGAACACAGTAACACGTACAGGGACAGTCAGTTGCTGTCACAGCAACACATCAAAAAGCGTGCACGCCAAAACCGCAAGACAGGCACAGACAGCAACAGCCAGAGACAGTCAGGAAAATCCGAAAAGTGCGTGCACTACTTCTCCTGTCTGTCTGTTTCAAGGGAGTTAAATAAAGGTACGATCACAGTGATTGTTCTTGTCAAGATGGAGGATTTTGAAGAGAAACTGATCAATGTGGTGCAAGAAAGGCCAGCAATTTATGACAAGAGCGAAAAACATCATGCTAATCGTGATTATATATTGAAGCAAAATGAGAGCTTTAATCGTGTTGCGAGTATCCTAGTATTAAAGTGGCAGGATAGAATAAAAAATTAAGAGCTGTGGGAAATGAATGGACAAAAGAATATAGAAGTAGAAATAGGACTAAAAAAGTGGCGATGCGGAAACATCACAAGACAGTTGCTGCAGTGGAACCACAGGGAGCACGAGGCAGGGGTAGGCCTCAAGAATCATGGAGGAGATGTGTGGAAAGGGACATGAGAGAGATGAAGCGGTGAGTACAAATCGGAAAGGCCAGAGAGAGGGGAACACTAAAGCCAGAAGTGGTAGAGAGAGGGGGGAACAGGTGCGTGGAGGTAAGGAATATAATAACAGAAAGGTGCGGTGAACACAAATTGGAAAGGCCAGAGAAAGAGGAACACTAGGGCCAGAGGTGGTAGAGAGAGGGAGAGGAAGAGGAAGAGGGAGAGAGAGAAAGAGAGAGAGAGAGAAAGAAAGAGAGAGAGAGAAAGAGAGAGAGGGGGGAACATAGTTATGCATGAAGGTAAGGAAGGGTGCGGTGAACACATTCATTGAGTCGACAAGGCCAGAGGAAGGGAAACGCGAAGGCAAAAAGTGGGAGAGAGAGAGAGAGAGAGAGAGAGAGAGAGAGAGAGAGGGGGGGGGAGTACGTGGAGGTAAGGAATATTACGGAAAGGCAGGGCCAAAAAGAGGGGGTTACAGGAACATAAGGGGTAATTAGTACGTTACGTTGTAAATTTAGGGTCCTTAAAATGGGGCTCGTCGATGATAAGGCCAGTGAGGATTTTGTAAGACCCCAAGTTCCAAATCCGCATTGATTCTTTTTGGTTCAGTTTTTCTTTAGTTGGATATTGAACTATTTCAATACCCTGAAGCTGCAAATCGGAGGCTCCATTGTGACCAGGACTGTTGAAATGTTGGCCAACTGGTGTGCTGGAGTTTTTGTGGACTGAATACCTATGATTATTAAACCTAGCTCTTGGTGTGGTGGTAGTTTGACCTACATATTATTGAGCTGGACAGACTTTACAAGATATGAGGTAGATTACATTTTTGGTTTCACAAGTGATGCTGCGGGAAAGTCATCATCATCATCATCATCATCACTATCGTCGTCGTCGTCGTCGTCGTTGCCGTTATATGATAATAATATTTATTATTAATAAACACAACAATTTGTGAATTTACATAACTCTCTACAATGGGTTCGTACCACTTTACAAAAAAAACCAAAAAAAAACAAACAAACTTGGAACAAGACATGGACCATACATTTTGGTTTGATATTTATGATAGTGATAAAGGTCGCCAGATTTCCTTTCACGATACCACGACAAAAGCTGCACATTGGCACATTTTAAATCCTCCGAAAAAGAAAATGTTTTCTTTGTTTGTTTTATGTTTTTGTTTGTTTTATTTTGTTTTGTTTTTTGTTTTACGACGCTCGCAACTGCATAAGGTCATATGAGCGTGCGGGAAATATTAATAATTTTCAGTTGGTAGGAAATTTTGAATTTTTCCACGGGTGGCGGCCGAAGTCTACTCTTATCGATTTTAGACCACCAAGGGATATTTAACGGGCGCAACTGGCGCACGGGACGACCGAGATTTTTCGCCCTTGTCCGAGAAGGCTGGGTGTCGATCTTTCCTACCAGAAGACCAGGGGTGTGGCTGAAAGAAAGCAATAAGAAGGTCCCGGATCCAAGGAGTAGCAGTGCAAAAGCTGCAGAAAGAGTCAGGATCCCAGAAGAGGAAGCAAAGGAGGTGAGGGAGTTGGAGCAGAAAGTGAAGTCGAAAACAGAGGACAGAACATTGCTAGAGAGCGAGAAAGGAGTTGAAAGGAGACAATATTTCAGAGAAGAAATGTTTTCCGTCGCTACCCGGGTTCGAACCCGAGGCCTTTGAATGAGAAGCAAACACCTTAACCTCTAGGCCACGAA